ATTTGGAAATATGTCTGTAAATGTCTGCCATGGCATCACTACTAATCTATCCTCAAACTCATTTCCCAGTTCATTTTATCCTGCTATCTTCATACCCTCAAATGTCCCAAATTAAGTTTAATGCACCAATGTTTGATCCCCTGATCTTTCCCTCAAACTAAAAATTTAATCACGTTGATCCTTGCTACAAAGGAGTGCCTTCACTAATAGCTAAGAAATTAATCCTGTCTCATTGCACATTGCCACATAAAATATCGTCTTGCTTCCTGGTTGTTGATCCTGGTGCGGAAAAAAAAATTGGCTGGCAGCACTCCAGGTACAGAGATGTTGCCATGCCCAGATGAGATACATCATAGATTGCTGAGAGAGGCCGAGGAGCAAATTGCAGAGCCATTGACAGAAATTTTCCAGATCTCTCCGAGCACAGGATAAGTCCTGGGGTCTCGAGGATTGTGAATGTGACGCCAGTGTTTAAGAAAGGGGCCAAGGGCAACCAGGAAACTACAGACCTGTCAGCTTGACGTCCATAACGGGATAACTGGTGGAGATTGTAATGCGGGATGAGGTCGATAAAGACTTGGAACATAGAACAATACAGCACAGGAACAGGACCTTCAGCCCACAGTTTTGTGCTGAACAAATTAAACCAATCTTTTCTCCCTGCCTCTGGTCCATATCCCTCCGTTCTGTGCTTATTCTTTGGCTTATCTAAATGCCCCTGTCATATCTGCCTCTGCCATTACCCCGGCAGTGCATTCCAGGCACCTACCATTCTGTGTTTAAAAAAAAAAACTTGCCCCTCACATCTCCTGTGAACTTTCCCCGTCTTAACTTAAATCATGCCTCCCCGTATTAGACATTTAGAGAAACATAAGCAAATAGTTGAACATCGGCATGCTGTTGTCAAGGGCAGGTTATGTCTGACAACTTTGATAGAGTTCTTCAATGAGGTGAGTGCTGTGGATCTTGTATGTTTGGACTTCCAAAAAGTATTTGGTATAGTGCTACATGGCAAGTTGATCAGCAAATTAGAAATGTTTGGGATTGATGGCTCCTTGGCAGCATGGATGCCAAGTTGGTTAAAAGATAGAAAACAGAGGGTAGGAATCGATGGGCATTTCTCAGGTTAGAGAGAATTCATTTTTTCTGATTTTATATGAACGATTTGGGGATGGGTGTTGAGGGCAGAATCTCTAAATTTGCAGATGATGCTAAGTTTGGGAGAATAGTGAATTGTGAGAATAATGCAGAGTTACTTCACAGAGACATTGACAAGTTGGCCAAATGAGTAGACACCTGGCAGATGAATTTTAATACAGAGAAATTTGAAGTAATGCATTTGGTTGAAGAAGCATGGAAAGAAAATACAGGTTCAATGCAACAATGTTGAGGGGAGTACAAGAGCAGAGGGACCTCAGGGTTTATGTGCATAATTTTCTGAAGGTGACCAGACAAAGTGAAACAGTTGTGAAGAAGGCTTAAAGGATCTTTGGGTTTATAAATAGAGGCACAGAGTTTAAAAACAAGGAGGTGGTGTTGCCCCTGTATAAGTTATTGGTACACTGCATTTGGAGTATTGTTTAGTTCTGAGAACCTTATTTAAGGAAGGATGTTAAGGATCTGGGGAGTGCAAAGTATACTTATTAGAATGATAGCTGGAATGAGTGATTTTAGATACAAGGAAAGATAAGAGAAACTGGGCTTATTCTCCATGGAGCAGAGAAGATTGAGGTGACTTTATTGAGGTATTCAAAATTACAAACAATTTTGACAGGGTAAAGAAGGTTATTCTGTTTCCACTGGCTGATATGTCAGTAACTAGGGGTCACAATTTCAAGATTGCCAGCAAGAGAGCCAGAAGTGAGATGAGAAGCTCTGTACTTAAAAAGATGTTCAGATCTGAAATGTGCTGCCTGAGAGTGTGGTGGAGGCAATTTGCTTTTTTCGTCGTCTTATTCTTCTTCTTCGTCTTTGTCGTATTCTTATTCTTATTCTTATTCTTATTCTTATTCTTATTCTTATTCTTATTCTTATTCTTATTCTTATTCTTATTCTTATTCTTATT